TCTATCAATAAAAGGCAGCAGTCTCTCTCTCTCTTTCTCTCTGTCAATAAAAAGGCAGCAATTCTTTCTCTCTTTCTCTCTCATCAATAAAAAAGTCTCTCTCTCTTTCTCTCTGTCTCTCTCTCTTTTTCTCTCTGTCAATAAAAAGGCGGCTTGAGTCTCTCTCTTTTCTCTCTCTGTCAATAAAGGCGGCAAGTCTCTCTCTTTCTCTCTCTGTCCAATAAAGGCAAGTCTCTCTCTTTCTTTCTCTCTCTGTCAATAAAAGGCAGCAAGTCTCTCTCTCTCTCTCTCTAAAGGCGGCAAGTCTCTCTCTCTTTCTCTCTCTGTCAATAAAAGGCGGCAGTCTCTCTCTCTTTCTCTCTCAATAAAAGGCAGCAAGTCTCTCTCTCTCTGTCTCTCTATTGTCAATTTCTCTCTCGGCAAGTCTCTCCTCAGTCTCTCTTTCTCTCTCTGTCAATAAAGGCAGCAAGTCTCTCTTTCTCTCTCTGTCAATAAAAGGCAGCAAGTCTTTCTCTCTCTTAGCAAAGGCAGCAGTCTTTCTCTCTCTGTCAATAAAAGGGCAAGTCTCTTTCTCTCTCTCAATCTCTCTCTCTGTCAATAAAAAAGGCGGCAAGTCTCTCTCTAAAAGGCGGTGCTTCTCTCTCTCTGTCAATAAAAGGCGGCAAGTCTCTCTCTCTCTCTCTCTGTCAATAAAAAAGGCGGCAAGTCTCTCTCAATCTCTCTCTGTCAATAAAAGGCGGCAAGTCTCTCTCTCTCTCTCTGTTTCTCTCTCTGTCAATAAAAGGCGGCAAGTCTCTCTCTCTCAATAAAAGGCTCTCTCTGTCAATAAAAGGCGGCAAGTCTCTCTCTCAATTTCTCTCTCTGTCAATAAAAGGCGGCAAGTCTCTCTCTCTCTGTCAATAAAAAAAAGGCTCTCTCTCTGTCAATAAAAAGGCGGCAAGTCTCTTTCTCTCTCTCTCAATAAAAGTATGGCAAGTCTCTTTTCTCTCTCTGTCAATAAAGGTGGCAAGTCTTTCTCTCTCTCTCAATAAAGGCGGCATCTCTTTCTCTCTCTGTCAATAAAAGGCGGCAAGTCTCTCTCTCTCTGTCAATAAAAGGCGGCAAGTCTCTCTCTCTCAATAAATGGCAAGTCTCTCTCTCTCTCTGTCAATAAAAGGCGGCAAGTCTCTCTCTCTCTCTGTCAATAAGGCGGCAAGTCTCTCTCTCTCTGTCAATAAAGGCTCTCTCTCTCTCTCTGTCAATAAAAGGCGGCAAGTCTCTCTCTCTGTCAATAAAAGGCGGCAAGTCTCTCTCTCTCTGTCAATAAAAGGCGGCAAGTCTCTCTCTCTCTCTCAATAAAAGGCGGCAAGTCTCTCTCTCTCTCAATAAAAGGCGGCAAGTCTCTCTCTCTCTCAATAAAAGGCGGCAAGTCTCTCTCTCTGTCAATAAAGGCATCTCTCTCTCTCAATAAAAGGCGGCAAGTCTCTCTCTCTGTCAATAAAAAGGCAAGTCTCTCTCTCTGTCAATAAAGGCAGCAAGTCTCTCTCTCTCTCTCAATAAAGGCGGCTCTCTCTCTCTCTGTCAATAAAAGGCGGCAAGTCTCTCTCTCTCTCTCAATAAAGGCAGCAAGTCTCTCTCTCTGTCAAAAAAAGGCGGCAAGTCTCTCTCTCTCTGTCAATAAAAAGGTCTCTCTCTCTCTCTCTCTCTCTCTCTCTGTCAATAAAAGGCGGCATCTCTCTCTCTCTCTGTCAATCTCTCTCTCTCTGTCAATAAAAGGCGGCAAGTCTCTCTCTCTCTCTGTCAATAAAAGGCGGCAAGTCTCTCTCTCTCTCTGTCAATAAAAGGCGGCAAGTCTCTCTCTCTCTCTGTCAATAAAAGGCGGCAAGTCTCTCTCTCTCTGTCAATAAAAGGCGGCAAGTCTCTCTCTCTCTCTCTGTCAATAAAAGGCGGCAAGTCTCTCTCTCTCTCTCTCTGTCAATAAAGGCAGCAAGTCTCTCTCTCTCTGTCAATAAAGGCAGCAAGTCTCTCTCTCTCTCTCTCTGTCAATAAAGGCGGCAGAACTCTCTCTTTCTCTCTCTGTCAATACAAAAGGCGGCAAGTCTCTCTCTCTCTCTCTCTCTGTCAATAAAAGGCAGCAGTCTCTCTCTCTCTCTGTCAATAAAAGGCGGCAAGTCTCTCTCTCTCTCTGTCAATAAAAGGCGGCAAGTCTCTCTCTTTCTCTCTGTCAATAAAAGGCAGCAAAGTCTCTTTCTCTCTCTGTCAATAAAGGCTCTCTCTCTCTGTCAATAAAAAGGCGGCAAGTCTCTCTCTCTCTCTGTCAATAAAGGCGGCAAGTCTCTCTCTCTCTCTGTCAATAAAAGGCAAAAGTCTCTCTCTCTGTGTCTGTCAAAGGCGGCAAGATCTCTCTCTCTCTCTCTGTGTCAATAAAAGGCGGCAAGTCTCTGTCAATCTCTCTCTCTCTCTCTCTGTCAATAAAAGGCGGCAAGTCTCTCTCTCTCAATAAAGGCGGCAAGTCTCTCTGTCAATAAAAGGCAGCCAAGTCTCTCTCTCTAAAAAGGCAGCAAGTCTCTCTGTCAATAAAAGGCGGCAAGTCTCTCTCAATCTGTCTCTCTCTCAATAAAAGGCGGCAAGTCTCTCTCTGTGTCAATAAAGGCGGCAAGTCTCTCTCTCTCTCAATAAAGGCGGCAAGTCTCTCTCTCTCTGTGTCAATAAAGGCGGCAAGTCTCTCTCTCTCTCTGTCTCAATAAAAGGCGGCAAGTCTCTCTCTCTCTCTGTCAATAAAAGGCAGCAAGTCTCTCTCTCTCTGTATCAATAAAGGCGGCAAGTCTCTCTTTCTGTCAATAAAAGGCGGCAAGTCTCTCTCTCTCAATGTGTCCCAAGTCTCTCTCTGTCAAGGCGGCAAAGTCTCTCTCTCTCTGTTGCATCCAATAAAAGGCAAGTCTCTCTGTCTCTCTATCAATAAGGCCAAGTCTCTCTCTCTCTCTCTGTCAATAAAAGGCGGCAAGTCTCTCTCTCTCTCTCTCTTTGTCAATAAAGGCGGCAAGTCTCTCTCTCTCTCTGTCAATAAAAAGGCGGCATCTCTCTCTCTCTCTCTCTCTGTCAATAAAAGGCAGCAAGTCTCTCTCTCTCTCTCTCTGTCAATAAAGGCGGCAAGTCTCTCTCTCTCTCTGTCAATAAAGGCAGCAAGTCTCTCTCTCTCTCTCTGTCAATAAAAGGCGGCAAGTCTCTCTCTCTCTCTCTGTCAATAATGGCATAAGTCTCTCTCTCTCTGTCAATAAAAGGCAAGTCTCTCTCTCTCTCTATCCAATAAAAGGCGCAGGCAAGTCTCTCTCTCTGTCTCTGTCAAAAAGGCGGCAAGTCTCTCTCTCTCTGTCAATAAAAGGCGGCAAGTCTCTCTCTCTCTGTCAATAAAAGCAAGTCTCTCTGTGTCTCTCTCTCTCTCTCTCTCTCTGTGTCAATAAAAGGCAGCAAGTCTCTCTCTCTCTCTCTCTCTCTCTCTTTGTCAATAAAAGGCGGCAATCTCTCTCTCTGTCAATCTCTCTCTCTCTCTGTGTCAATAAAAGGCAGCAAGTCTCTCTCTCTCTCTCTCTTTGTCCATAAAAAGGCAGCAAGTCTCTCTCTCTCTCTCTCTTTGTCAATAAAAGGCGGCAAGTCTCTCTCTCTCTCTTTGTCAATAAAAAGGCAGCCGTCTCTCTCTCTCTCTTTGTCAATAAAAAGGCGGCAAGTCTCTCCTCTCTCTCTCTCTCTCTCTCTCTCTCTCTTTGTCAATAAAAGGCGGCAAGTCTCTCTTTGTCATCTCTCTTTCTCTTTTAACACTCTTTCAATCAGTCTCTCTTTGTCTTCATCCTTTATTCGATCTCTCTTTCTCTTTGTTGCTAAAAGGCGGCAAGTCTCTCTTTGTCTTCATCCTTTTATTCGATCTCTTTCTCTTTAACACTCCCTTCAATCAGTCTCTTTGTCTTCATCCTTTGTTCGATCTCTCTCTTTCTCTTTACTTACTCCTTCAATCAGTCTCTCTTGTCTTCATCCTTTATTCGTCTCTCTTTCTCTTTGCCTCCTTCAATCAGTCTCTCTTTGTCTTCATCCTTTATTCGATCTCTCTTTCTCTTTTAACCTCCTTCAATCAGTCTCTCTTTGTCTTCATCCTTTATTCGATCTCTCTTTCTCTTTGCTGCTCCTTCAATCAGTCTCTCTTTGTCTTCATCCTTTATTCGATCTCTCTTTCTCTTTAACCTCCTTCCAGTCAGTCTCTCTCTCTTTCTCTTCATCCTTTATTCGATCTCTCTCTTTCTCTTTGCTGCTCCTTCAATCAGTCTCTCTTGCATGTTTCATCCTTTATTCGTTTCTCTCTTTCTTTTAACCTCCTTCAATCAGTCTCTCTTTGTCTTAATCTCTAATCCAGTTTCCTTTATCCTTTACCATTTCTCTCTTTCTCTTTAACATTATATTTCAATATTTCTCTGTCTTTCTCTTCATCCCCTTATCTCGATCTCTTCTCTTTAAATCTCTCTCTCTCATCCAGCCAGTCTCTTTCTCCTTTATCTCATCTTTTATTCATCTCTCTTTAAACTCACTTTAACAATTCTCACTTTCCCTTTATCTTCATCCTTTTACTTTATGATCTGTTATTTGTTCGATCTCTTTTAACACTATAATTCAATCAGTCTCTCTTTGTCTTCATCCTTTATTCGATCTCTCTTTCTTTAATACCTTTCAATCAGTCTCTTTCTCTTCATCCTTTATTCGATCTCTCTCTTTCTCTTTAACCTCCTTCAATCAAGTCATCCTTTTTCAGTCTCTCATCCTTTCCTTCGATCAGTCTCTCTTTGTCTTCATCTTTAACACTCTTTCTCTTTCCAATCAGTCTCTCTTTGTCTTCATCCTTTATTCATCTCTTTCTCTTTTTAACACTCCTTCAATCAGCTCTCTTTTCTTCTCCTTATTCGAGCTTCTTTCTCTTTAACACCCTTCAATCTGTCTCTCTTCCTTTATCCGATCTCTCTTTCTCTTAACACCCTTCAATGATCTCTTTGTCTTCATCCTTATTCGATCTCTTTCTCTTTACCACTCCTTCCAATCAGTCTCCTCTTTGTCTTCATCCTTATTCGATCTCTCTTTCTCTTTAACACTCCTTCAATCAGTCTTCATCCTTTTGTCTTCTTTTCCTTCAGTAGTCGATCTCTTCTTTATCCTTTATTCCCGTCTCTTTCTCTTTTACTCCTTCAATCAGGTCTCTTTGTTCTTCATCCTTTATTCGATCTCTCTTTCTCTCTTTGCTCCTTCAATCAGTCTCTCTTTCTCTTCATCCTTTATTGATCTCTCTTTCTCTTTAACACTCTCCTTCAATCAGTCTCTCTTTGTCTTCATCCTTTGTTGATCTCTCTTTCTCTTTAACATTCCTTCAGTCAGATCTCTCTTTGTCTTCATCCTTTATTTGATCTCTCTTTCTCTTTTAACACTCCTTCAATCAGTCTCTCTTTTGTCTTCATCCTTTATTCAATCTCTCTTTTCTCTTTAACACTCCTTCAATCAGTCTCTCTTTTGTCTTCATCCTTTATTGATCTCTCTTGCCTTCACCACTCCTTCATCCTTTATTCATTCTCTTTCTCTTCATCCTTCCTTCGATCTCTCTTTCTCTTTGTCTTCCCTTCAATCAGTCTCTCTTTCTCCTTCATCCTTTATTCGATCTCTTTCTCTTTAACACTCCTTTCAGTCTCTCCTCTTTCTCTTCATCCTTTATTCGATCTCTTTCTCTTTCCTTCAATCAGTCTCTTTTCTCTTCATCCTTTATTCGATCTCTTTCTTTAAAACCTCCCCTTCAGTCTCTCTTTGTCTTCATCCTTTTATTCGATCTCTCTTTCATTTAACACTCCTTTCCAGTCTCTCTTTGTCTTCATCCTTTATTTGTCTCTCTTTCTCTTTAACACTCCTTCAATCAGTCTCTTGTCTTCATCCTTTATTCGATCTCTCTTTCTCTTTAACACTCCTTCAATCAGTCTCTTTCTCTTGTCCTTTATTCAGTCTCTCTTTTCTCTTTCTGCTCAATCAGTCTCTCTTTGTCTTCATCCTTCATTCAGTCTCTCTTTCTCTTTACGCTCCCTTTATTCAGTCTCTCTTTCTCTTCGATCTCTTTTTTCGATCTCTCAACTCTTTAACAGTCTCTCTCTTTGTCTTCATCCTTATTCGATCTCTTTCTCTTTGCCTCCCTTCAATCAGTCTCTCTTTGTCTTCATCCTTTATTCAATCTCTCTTTCTCTTTAACACTCCCCTTCAATCAGTCTCTCTTTCTCTTCATCCTTTATCTCTCTCTCTTCTTTCTCCTTCAATCAGTCTCTCTTTGTCTTCATCCTTATTCATCTCTCTTTCTCTTTAACAATCCTTCCAATCCTCTCTCTTTCTCTTCATCCTTTATTCGATCTCTCTTTCTTTGCTGCTCCTTCAATCAGTCTCTCTTTGTCTTCATCCTTTATTTATTCTCTTTCTCTTTAACACTTCTTTCAGTCTCTCTTCTCTTCATCCTTATTCGTCTCTCTTCTCTTTAACACTCCTTCAATCAGTCTCTCTTTGTCTTCATCCTTTATTCAGTCTCTCTTCTTTAACACTCCTTCAATCAGTCTCTCTTTGTCTTCATCCTTTATTCGATCTCTCTTTCTCTTTAACACTCCTTCAGTCAGTCTCTCTTTGTCTTCATCCTTTATTCGATCTCTCTTTCTCTTTAACACTCCTTCAATCAGTCTCTCTTTGTCTTCATCCTTTATTCTCTCTCTCTCTTTCTCTTTTCTCACTCCTTCAATCAGTCTCTCTTTACTCTTCATCCTTTATTCGTCTCTCTTTCTCTTTAACACTGTTTTTCAATCTCTTCATCCTTTTTCGATCTCTTCTTTCTCTTTTTATTCTTTCCTCTCTCTATTCGATCTCTTAACTCTTTCCTTCAATCAGTCTCTCTTGTCTTCATCCTTTATTCGATCTCTCTTTAACACTCCTTCAATCAGTCTCTCTTTCTCTTCATCCTTTATTCGATCTCTCTTTCTCTTTAACACTCCTTCAAAAGTCTCTCTTTGTCTTCATCATTTATTCGATCTCTTCTCTTTCCATCCTTCAGAAATTCTCTCTTTCTCTTCATCCTTTATTCGATCTCTCTTTCTCTTCCACTCCTTCAATCAGTCTCTCTTTGTCTTCATCCTTTATTCAGTCTCTTTCTTTCATCTCCTTCCTTCAGTCTCTCTTTCTCTCCATCCTTTATTCGATCTCTCTTTCTCTTTCTCCTTCAGTCTCTCTTTCTCTTATCCTTTATTCGATCTCTCTTTCTCTCTTTATTCCTTCAATCAGTCTCTCTTTGTCTTCATCCTTTATTCGATCTCTTTCTCTTTAACACTCCTTCAATCAGTCTCTCTTTCTCTTCATCCTTTATTCGATCTCTTTCTCTTTGCTTACTCCTTCAATCAGTCTCTCTTTCTCTTCATCCTTAGAAAGACACTTTCTCTTCATCATGAAAAGAACACTTTCTCTCCATCATAGAAAAGACACTTTTCTCCATCATAGAAAAGACACTTTTTCTCCATCATAGAAAAGACACTTTCTCTCCATCATAGAAAAGACACTTTCTCTCCATCATAGAAAAGACACTTTCTCTCTCCATCATAGAAAAAACTTTCACTCCATCATAGAAAAGACACTTTCTTCATCATAGAAAAGACACTTTCTCTCCATCATAGAAAAGACACTTTCTCTCCATCATAGAAAAGACACTTTCTCCATCATCCATCATCAGAAAAAGACACTTTCTCTTCATCATAGAAAAGACACTTTCCTCCATCATAGAAAAGACACTTTCTCTCCATCATAGAAAAGACACTTTCTCTTCATCATAGAAAAGACACTTTCTCTCCATCATAGAAAAAGACACTTTCTCTCCATCATAGAAAGTTTTTTCTCTTCATCATAGAAAAGACACTTTCTCTCCATCATAGAAAAGACTTTTCTTTCATCTTTCATCATCATAGAAAGACACTTTCACTCCATCATAGAAAAGACACTTTCTCTCCATCATAGAAAAGACTTTCTCTCCATCATAGAAAAGACACACTCCCATCATCCATCATAGAAAAGACACTTTCTCTTCATCATAGAAAAGACACTTTCTCTTCATCATAGAAAGACATTTTTCTCTTCATCATGGAAAAGACACTTTCATCATCATCAGAAAGACACTTTCTCTCCATCATAGAAAAGACACTTTCTCTCCATCATGAAAAGACACTTCCTCCATCATAGAAAAAAACTTTCTCTCCATCATAGAAAAGACACTTTCTCTCCATCATAGAAAAGACACTTTCTCTCCATCATAAAAGACACTTTCTCTCCATCATAGAAAGACACTTTCTCTCCATCATAGAAAAACACTTTCTCTCCATCACTTTAGAAAAGAAACTTTCTCTTTCATCATAGAAAAGACACTTTCTCTCCATCATAGAAAAAACTTTTCTCCACATCATAGAAAAGACACTTTCTCCATCATAGAAAAGACACTTTCTCTCCATCATAGAAAAGACACTTTCTCTCCATCATAGAAAAGACACTTTCTCTTCATCATAGAAAAGACACTTTCACTCCATCATAGAAAAGACACTTTCTCTCCATCATAGAAAAGACACTTTCACTCCATCATAGTAAAGACACTTTCTCTTCATCATAGTAAAGACACTTTCACTCCATCATAGAAAAGACACTTTCTCTCCATCATAGAAAAGACACTTTCTCTCCATCATAGAAAAGACACTTTCTCTCCATCATAGAAAAGACACTTTCTCTCCATCATAGAAAAGACACTTTCTCTCCATCATAGAAAAGACTTTCTCTCCATCATAGAAAAGACACTTTTTCTCCATCATAGAAAAAGACTTTCTCTCCATCATAGAAAAGACACTTTCTCTCCATCATAGAAAAGACACTTTCTCTCCATCATAGAAAAAGACACTTTCTCTCCATCATAGAAAAGACTTTCTTTCTCTCTCCATCATAGAAAAGACACTTTCTCTTCATCATAGAAAAGACACTTTCTCTCCATCATAGAAAAGACACTTTCTCTCCATCATAGAAAAGACACTTTTCTCCATCATAGAAAAAAACTTTCTCTCCATCATAGAAAAGACACTTTTCATCCATCATAGAAAAAGACACTTTCTCTCCATCATAGAAAAGACCTTTTTCTCTTCATCATAGAAAAGACACTTTCACTCCATCATAGAAAAGACACTTTCACTCCATCATAGTAAAGACACTTTCTCTTCATCATAGAAAAGACACTTTCACTCCATCATAGAAAACACTTTCTCTCCATCATAGAAAGACACTTTCTCTTCATCATAGAAAAAGACACTTTCTCATCATCATAGAAAAAGACACTTTTCTCCATCATAGAAAAAGACACTTTCTCTCCATCATAGAAAAGACACTTTCTCTCCATCATAGAAAAAGACACTTTCTCTCCATCATAGAAAAAGACACTTTCTCTCCATCATAGAAAAGACACTTTCTCTCCATCATAGAAAAGACACTTTCACTCCATTTAGAAAAGACACTTTCCATCATAGAAAAGACACTTTCTCTCCATCATAGAAAAGACACTTTCTCTCCATCATAGAAAAGACACTTTCTCTCCATCATGAAAAAAGACACTTTCTCTCCATCATAGAAAAGACACTTTTCTTCCATCATAGAAAAGACACTTTCTCTCCATCATAGAAAGAGACTTTCTCTCCATCATAGAGAAAGACACTTTCCTCCATCATAGAAAAAGACACTTTCTCTCCATCATAGAAAAGACACTTTTCTCTCCATCATAGAAAAGACACTTTCTCTCCATCATCAGAAAAGACACTTTCTCTCCATCATAGAAAAAGACACTTTCACTCCATCATCTTTCATCATCATGAAAAGACACTTTCTCTCCATCATAGAAAAGACACTTTCTCTTCATCATAGAAAAGACACTTTTTCTCTTCATCATAGAAAAAGACACTTTCACTCCATCATAGAAAAGACACTTTCTCTCCATCATAGAAAAGACACTTTCTCTCCATCATAGAAAAGACACTTTCTCTTCATCATAGAAAAGACACTTTCTCTCCATCATAGAAAAGACACTTTCTCTCCATCATAGAAAAGACACTTTCACTCCATCATAGAAAAGACACTTTCTCTCCATCATAGAAAAGACACTTTCACTCCATCATAGAAAAGATTTTCTCTCCATCATAGAAAGACACTTTCTCTCCATCATAGAAAAGACACTTTCTCTCCATCATAGAAAAGACACTTTCTCTAGAAAAGACCATCATAGAAAAGACACTTTCTCTTCATCATCAGAAAAGAAAAGACACTTTCTCTCCATCATAGAAAAGACACTTTCTCCATCATAAAAAAGACACTTTCTCTCCATCATAGAAAAAGACCTTTCTCTCCATCATAGAAAAGACACTTTTCCTCCATCATAGAAAAGACACTTTCTCTTCATCATAGAAAAGACACTTTCTCTCCATCATAGAAAAGACACTTTCTCTTCATCATAGAAAAGACACTTTCTCTCCATCATAGAAAAGACATCTCCATCATAGAAAAGACACTTTCTCTCCATCATAGAAAAGACACTTTCTCTTCATCATAGAAAAGACACTTTCTCTCCATCATAGAAAAGACACTTTCTCCATAGAAAAGACACTTTTCTCCATCATAGAAAAAGACACATCATAAAAAGACACTTTCCTCCATCATAGAAAAGACACTTTCTCTCCATCATAGAAAAGACACTTTCTCTCCATCATAGAAAAGACATACTTTCTCTTCATCATAGAAAAGACTTTCTCTCCACAGAAAAAGACACTTTCTCTCCATCATAGAAAAGACACTTTCTCTCCATCATAGAAAAGACACTTTCTCTCCATCATAGAAAAGACACTTTTCTCCATCATAGAAAAGACACTTTCTCTCCATCATAGAAAGACACTTTCTCTCCATCATAGAAAAACACTTTCTCTCCATCATAGAAAAAGACACTCCATCATAGAAAGACACTTTCTCTTCATCATAGAAAAGACACTTTCTCTCCATCATAGAAAAGACACTTTCTCTCCATCATAGAAAAGACACTTTCTCTCCATCATAGAAAAGACACTTTTTCTCTCCATCATCACTCCAGAAAAGACACTTTCTCTTCATCATAGAAAAGACACTTTCTCTCCATCATAGAAAAGACACTTTCTCTCCATCATAGAAAAGACACTTTCTCTCCATCACTCCATCATAGAAAAGACACTTTTTCTCCATCATAGAAAAGACACTTTCTCTTCATCATAGAAAAGACACTTTCTCTCCATCATAGAAAAGACACTTTCTCTCCATCATAGAAAAGACACTTTCTCTCCATCATAGAAAAGACACTTTCTCTTCATCATAGAAAAGACACCATCTTCATCATAGAAAAGACACTTTCTCCCCATCATAGAAAAGACACTTTCTCTTCATCAGAAAAGACACTTTCTCTCCATCATAGAAAAAGACACTTTCTCTTCATCATAGAAAAGACACTCATCCATCAAAAAGACACTTTCTCTCCATCATAGAAAAGACACTTTCACTCCATCATAGAAAAGACACTTTCTCTCCATCATAGAAAAGACTTTCTCTCCATCAGAAAAGACACTTTCCTCTTCATCATAGAAAAGACACTTTCTCTCCATCATAGAAAAGACACTTTCTCTCCATCATAGAAAAGACACTTTCTCTCCATCATAGAAAAGACACTTTCATCTCCATCATAGAAAAGACACTTTCTCTCCATCATAGAAAAAAGACACTTTCTCTCCATCATAGAAAAGACACTTTCTCTTCATCATAGAAAAGAAAAGACACTTTCTCTTCATCTACATCATATAGAAAAAGACACTTTCTCTCCATCATGAAAAGACACTTTCTTTCTCTCATCCTTAGAAAAGACCTTTCTCTTCATCCTTTATTCGTCTCTCTTTCTCTTTCTCCTTCAGTCTCTTTGTCTTCATCCTTTATTCGATCTCTCTTTCTTTCATCCTTCAAAAGTCTCTCTTTGTCTTCATCATTTGTTCGTCACTTTTCTCTTTCATCCTTCCAGAAAGTCTCTCTCTTTGTCTTCATCTTTATTCGTCTCTCCCATCCTCCTTCAATCAGTCTCTCTCTTTCTCTTCATCCTTTATTCACTTTCTTTCTCCATCTTCAAAAAGTCTCTTTCTCTTCATCCTTCGATCTCTCTTTCTCTTTGCTCCCTTCAATCAGTCTCTCTTTCTCTTCATCCTTTGTTCGATCTCTCTTTCTCTTTAACACTCCTTCAGCCAGTCTCTCTTTGTCTTCATCCTTTATTCGATCTCTCTTTCTCTTTAACACTCCTTCAGCCAGTCTCTCTTTCTCTTCATCCTTTATTCGATCTCTCTTTCTGCTTCTTTCTCCTTCAATCGGTCTCTTTGTCTTCATCCTTTATTCATTCTCTT